GCCAGGAAGAGTAGCGGGTGGCTGTTCATAACGACACCAGTGAAAGTAAAATTGCTAAACACACAAAAACGGTGAGGACTCCTCCAAGGAGTCACTGCAAATACCTTTGGGAGCGAGCAGCATTGGTTCTTAAATGCCCTGTCAGCATGGAGTGATTTGGAGGCAGAACGAAAAGGTTATTCCAGGAAAAAACAGTTTTAGAACCGGAGTTTAGAGAGCAGGATGCGGTTGTGGGGGCTGTGTGTGGGGGGGGGGGGCGGCGCATTGAGAGGGTGACATCACAGCCACGGCGGGTGCTAGGTGCCAGGTGCCGTCTGCCGTCAGCCGGCGCGTCCCGGGGAACCCTGTGGGCTGTGTCCTTCCAGTCCTGCTCTCGGCTTATTCTTGTTAGTCTCCAGGCAGCCTCACTTGAACCCGGAGACAGCCATGGGCCGCACCTGTGTGGGCAGGTGGGCGGGGGAGCCTGCAGTGGGGATCCCCCCGAGATTGGCCGCCCCTGGGGTGCGATGAGCTGGGGCTCTGATGGATGCCACGGTGAAGGAGGTGCACTTTGAATCTCTCTGAGGGCGGACTCTTCTGGAAGCCCTCGCCACCGTCAGATGGAGCCCCCGGAAAGCTGTGCTGTGGGGACAGGCTGGGTCCCGGGCGTCGTTCTGGTGTTGAGCCCACGCCGCCTGAGGGTTTCGCGTCTCCTCTCCACAGAGCGGAGCCGCCAGCAGCTGCGGGCCCTGCCTGGCGTTTTCCTGCTGCTCGTTATTTAAATACGGGACATATGTTTCTGTGCAGCAACAGAGATGGGTAGATACAGTCTTGCAAGAGGCAGCGGAGTTGAAGTGATGGTGGTCAGGCGCACAGACAGGTGGCCCAGGTCTGGTTGAGTCTCTGTGCCATCAGCTGCGCTGCCTGCGGGCGGGGACGTGAGGACTGTCTGGGCGGCATCGGGTCAGGCTGCCACCCGTGTCTCCATCTGCCCCTCAGCGTGGCACACTTCCCGTAGAAGGAGGGGCTGGAGGAGGTCCCCCGTGGGAAAACAGCAAGTTGAAAGGTGCCAGGCATTGCTCTCAGCTGTCCTGGATGCTCACGTGGCACCAGCCTGGCCAGCCTTTGGGAGAGATGCGAGCCGCCCGCCCTGGAGCTGAGCGGTGAGCACACGGAGGCTGCGCTTCCCGGCTCAGAGCCGCCTGGCACCCCGCACTGTGCCCGCCTCGCCCTGCTCCCGAGTGGCCAGCAGGACCTCTGGGCCTCGGCTGTGCTCCACTAAGGAAACGCTGTCGGCGGGCGGGCGCTGGAGCTGGGGATGGTGGGGTTGGAGGACGGGCTGGGGAGGGGAGAAAGACACCCATGCGTGTCTCCTCTGCGCTCGAGACTCCCCTGCAACACGTCACTCCCGACACGGGATGAACGGGTTTACACGCAGAGCGGTTCTTCCACGCCGGCTGGGTGGCCACGGTTTAACCCGGTTGGACACTGTCTCCCTGGAGACAAGTCCAGGTTGTCACCTGGGCTTCTGACCCATCTGTGGTGGATCCAACAGCCCCCTCCTTGGGTTTGATTAATTTGCTGGAATTTGTTCGTTATTTAGATATGAACATATGGGGACATATGTTTCACGAACTCAGAGACAGTTTACTCATAGTTCATTATGAAAGGATGTAACGCAGGACCAGCGGATGGAGAGAGGTGCAGGGCGAGGTCTGGGAAGGGGCACAGAGCTCCCGGGCTCCCCGAGAGCGCCACTCCCCCAAACCCGTATGCTGCTCTCTGAACCCTGTCCTTAGTGCTTCTATGGCAGGTTCATTACACGGGTGTGATGGATGACATCATCGACCAGGGGTGATGGGACCCGATCTCCATCCTCTCCCCTGCCCAGAGGTCTGTGGTTCCAACCCTCTCATCACAGGGTGGTTCCCTGGCCGCCACCCAGCCCATCCTCAGGCACCATCCCACTCCGCCTGTGGTGAGAATAACCACACACCATTTCACCTTCGCCACGCCTGCTCTCTTCCCGAGGAAATCCCGAGGGTCTGAGGAGCTCTGTGCCAGAAACAGGGCAAAGATCAAGTACATCCATCCTATAATATAATAAAAGCCTAATATGCAAATTGTCCCCTCGACCGGGAGTTCAACCGGGGGTTAGACCAGGAGTTTGACCAGGGGGCGGCAGCGGTGGCAGGCAGCTGGGGGAAGGGAGCCCTACCCCCACCCCCGGCCGGCAGCTGGCAGCTGCTAGGGACCCTATCTGTGCATGAATTTCGTGCACTGGGCCTCTAGTTTCATTATAAACCAGGACATCACAGGAAGGAAGGTGGGATGGAGGTTCTACTCTCCCCTCCCCTGAATCTTTGTGTCTGCAGATCCCATGGCCCCTCACCCACCCACCCTGGAGACCAGCCAGGGCTGCTCAGCCATGCTGCCAGGTCAGCCCCTCCCCCAGACAAAGGGGTAGGGGGTAGAATGAGGAGAAGAGAAAAGACAGCAAAGGGCATACGGACACTGCCTCTCAATTCCAAGACTCAGCCCTGGGATGTGACCCCGTGAACACCAGGCTCTGGCCTGGGAAGGACACTTCTCCTGGGACGGGACGCACAGGGCGAAACACGGAGGGTGAAAGGGACCCAGCGCGTCTTCGTGTGGGTGGGCAGGCACCAGGCATGTCGCCCCTCCCTCCGGGGCTGAGGTCGGAGCTGGGAGAGAAGCTGACATGTCCCCCCCCAACCCCCCGCGGAGCCTGCGCACGCTGGGCTTTGCTACCTGAAGGTGACTGTGCGAATCCTGCTCCCCACGAAGCAGCAGCTCTGTGTTCGATGGTGACATCCGGATTTTACGTGTTAGGGCTGCTACCTGTGGGTGCTCCGGACCGGACTTAAACTTGGTGCAGGGCCCAGAGCCTCTGGGGGTGGGAACAGAGAAGAGGGAGTCTGGCCGCCATCCAGGAATTACGCTGTGATTAAGGGAGGGGAACATGCACGTATTACTTAAAACGATACATAAAATTAACTTCCCGTGGTACAGCGGGCTCGGTCTAGTGGGAACCAGCTGTGACGAGTCGATGGCCTGTGTCTTCAAGGGAAGCTGCTGCTGTCATTGCCCGCCACCAGCAATCTGGCTCAGTCGCACCGCGTCCCACTGGCCCGGAGCCAGGCTCTCTGTGCCCGGATAGGAATGTACCGAGTTAACTGTCACTCCGCTCCCCGGGGAACAATCCCCTATTAAGCCCCTAATTCACTGCGTGTTCCCTTGCTTAGAAGCTCGGTGGTGGAAGGTAGGGAATCCCCCCACTTTGGAATCCCCCCAGCCAGGGTGTCCAGGGAGCGTCTCTGGACCCAGCGTCTCTGAGCTCAGAGGTGGTGCATCCCCAATGCAGCAAACGTACAAGAGACAGTCTGGGATCGGGAGAGGATGGGGCCAGATAAATCCCCAACTGTAAAGCTGCTTCCTTTTTAAAAAACTTTTTATTATCTTTTTATTAATCCTCATCAAAGAACATTTTTTCCCCCACTGCTTTTCAGAGAGAGTGGAGGGAGGGAGAAAGGGGGAGAGAAACATCCATGTGAGAGACGCATTGGCTTGTTGCCTCCCATATGCACCCTGACTAGGGGGCAGGGAGCACACCCACAACCCAGGTTCGTGTTCTTGACCGGAAAGTGAACCTGAGATCCCTTGGTGCTCGGGCCGATGCTCTGGCCACTGAACACGCGAGCCAGGGCCCGAGCCCCTTTCTTAGTGAAATGGACTTTTCCTAAGTTGACTGGAAAATCCCCCAGGAGCTCAGTGGGAAAATGCGTGTGTCCACCTGGTAAGGAATGCCGGGGCCTCACGTTTGGGGGGTCGGCTTTCTGGAAGCCATGCTTCCTGGTGTCTTAGCACCTCTAGTTCTTCAGGGGGAGGGCAGGCGGCAGGGAGGACCCTGGAGATCGGGCTGGTGGCCTCAGCGGAGGCCCGTGGGACAGCCAGGCTCCCTGGACGTGCTCTGGCCGGAGGTGAGGTGGTCCCTTTTCTTTGGAAACCAGACCCCTGGGAGGACGTGGGCACCGACCCACCGTGTCCTCCGTGAATGTCTGTAACTCAGGTGGGTTTTTCCATCGGAACAGGTGCGTGGTCTGGACGGGCGATGACCGGGTTTTCTTCTTCAACCCCACGATGCAGCTGTCCGTGTGGGAGAAGCCCGTGGACCTGGAGCACCGCGGGGACCTCAACAGGATCCTCGAGGACCCGCCGCACAAGCGCAAGCTGGAGGCCTCGGCCGGTGAGCGCGGGACCCATGCGGTCCCCCGTGCGTGTCCAGGCTGGGCATTCCCAGGGAGCGGGTGGGAGGTGTGCTGTCCCTGGTTGTGGGGGACAGTGACTTTTAAGGCAGCTTCAGAATTTAGTAATTACATTCTTATGGCGCTTTCTGCCGAAACATCGATCCTCCGGAGGGTCGGCTCTGGCTTTCTTTCCGTGTCAGTCTTTAACTCAGAGAAGGAAGGCCTTTCATCCCTCGGCCGCTCCACGTGTCCCTCCCGCCTCGTCGTTAGCCAGCGTGTAATTTTCTCAATGGCTTGTGGACCCCACTGGAGAGACCAGGTGTACACAGATAACACGTTTCCTCCCCTGGGGGTGCGAAACCACCTATTGTTTCTTTGGAGGCTCCTGGAACCCGTGGAGCCATGTGCTTGGCGAGGGGACCGTGCCGGGCAGCGGGCCAGCTGTCCCAGAGCCAGAGGAGAACATGGCGCGTCTTCAGTCTGGGTCTTTCCGATTAGACCGCCCACATTTTTCATTAGCTCCGTGTTGGGCGAGCCCCTCCCTCAGTTCATGGGCCACACTGTGGGGGCACTTGAGGTCAGCTCTGGGCTGACCTGACACATAGGCGCTTGACCCCTTGAAAGAGGGGTTTGGTTTTATTTTGTGGGTGTTTGTTGGGTTTGCAATGACATTTTTGTCTCTACTGATCTAGGGCTAAAATGACAGCAGCCCCCTCTTTTAGTCAAACTCAGAGGCATCTGCCTGGACTTCAGAAGAGGGGGTTCTATAAGCTTTCTTGACATTTTCACAGCTCTGAGTAGAAGCCACTGCTCCTGGGAAGCCAGTGTTTGTCTCTCAGGATGGAGAGATGACAAGTTTAATATGTTTGTTTCTGTTAATATAATAAGGACATTCTCCAGAGAGCTGGAGCCCGCGGATGCTGGAAAAAGAGGCGTGTTCTGGGCGCCTCTTGAACCGAATCTGTAAAGTCTTAGCCGTGTGGGGAAGGAGACAATAATTTTCCTCCCACCTTTCTAAGCTCTGGCTGGGCTAACAATCAAATTAGCATGAGACGGATGAACAGGCGAGAATGTCCCAAATTTCTTGCGGTTGTACGTATGGGGTCCCGTAAGAATGTGGGGCCAAGGACAAGTCAGGCCGAGGAGGTTTATACGCCATTCGTAGCTGGAGAGGAAGGGGGAAGGTTGTGGTTTGAGACTTCAAAGGGCAGGACGGCCACTCACCTGGGCCTGGGAAAGCCGGTGTTTGGTAACTGAGTGTTTGCTGGGCCCTCAGCAACCACAGGGCCTCGCCGGGTTCCTCTGTCTATGACCCTTAGTTCTTAGTAACTGTGGTTACTGTGATGTAGCTGCCTCCCTGGACAGGGCCTCAGTGTAAATATTAGGGGGAAGGTCAGGAGTTCTCTCTGCATCTTCTGTTCCTTAAAAATAACCAGGTTAAAATATTCCATGTCCTAAAGAGGCACATGTTGGGGTGACGAACTCTGCTCCCCCTCAGCTGATGGCAGGCACAATAGAAATTGGGTCTGGGATGGTTTTCTCCTTTGATAAGCAGGCATCCATTTTAAAAATGTACATTTTTATTGATTTCAGAAAGAAAGGGAGAGGGATAGAAAGATCAATGATGAGAGAGAATCATTGATTGGCTGCCTCCTGCATGCTCCTTCCTAGGGATTGAGCCCCAAATCAGGGCATGTGCCCTGACTGGGAATTGAACCGTGATCTCCTGGTTCATAGGTTGATGCTCAACTACTGAGCCACACCATCTGGGCTGACATCCATATTTTAAAAAAAAATATATATATATTTTTATTGATTTCAGAGAGGAAGGGAGAGGGAGAGAGAGAGAAACAACAATGATGAGAAAAAATCATTGATTGGCTGCCTCCTGCACGCCCCCCACTGGGGATTGAGCCTGCAACCGGGGCATGTGCCCTGACCAGGAATCAAACCCAGGACCCTTCAATCGCAGGCTGACGCTCTATCCACCGAGCCAAACCAGCCAGGCATGGCATGCGTTTTTAAGAGGGATATTTAACATGCTGAACGAGGGCTGGAGCCAGAGACCCTGAGAGAAAGCCACCTCTTGAGGTCCATCCCCTGAGGTCGAGAACTCCGCATGCTGGGGAATGTCAGGAGGCCACGCAGCCCATGAGAAACCGTAGGTGCGTCGTGGCGATGGTTCTATTTGCTTGGTGGAAGGTGGATCACGCAGGCAGGCTCCTGGCTCCTGGCTTAGCCTGCATTCTTGTAGATAATTGGGTGCTGTTTTTACTTATTTACTTATTTTCCCCAGCCTTGGTCGCCATGAGAAGGCAGCTAGCTCATTAGCAGTCCACGCATAGGTGCTCTCCCGTTTCCCTCATTTGGAACAAACCAGGCCAGGGCCAACTGAAACTGAACCACGTCCACAGACTCCCCACTGAGGCACCTGCCAGTTCCAACGCTCAGGACTGCAGGAGGGGGAGGGACAGTGGTAAGAAATAAACTGAGGCACGTTACACATTTCCACAGTTTATTTGAGCAAAAAAGATTCTAATGGGGGAGCACCGAACCAGAAGTGGTTAGGAGCGCCCCACCCACGGGGAAGGACTCATGTGGTCCAGGGGCAGACGCGAAGAAGGGAAGTTATTGGCTGGCTGTGGTTTAGAGCCCAGCTGGCTCCTTGGTAATGGTTGTTCTTCGTGTTTTGATTGATTTCTGTTTCTTTGTGGGGGTGTCCTCACATTGAGCCTCCTTGTTTAACGAGCTTCATGACAGGGACCTGAATTACGGGGTCATAGGTCAGTGCTCCATTTCACTCTAGACCACGCGTCTCATTGTATACTGAAAAAGGGGGAGAATGGAGCCTCAGATCCCACAAACACAACCAGGAGCAACCAGTGAATTTAGCTGCAATATATTCAGGTGTTTTTGTCTTCCATCCACTTATTCCGGTGGCCCTAACTCCTCTACCTAGATAGATGTGTGATGATACAGTTACATGTCGTGACGGAAGTTTTAACCTTGCTTTCTCTTCTAAGAGCGATGTTCTTAAACCAGTAATTTTTAAAACCCGAATCTTAAAGCTATGCCGGTGACCTCAATTCTCAACTTCCTGTTGTCGGGTAGAACTGACATTTGAATGCACAGCTTCTAATTTCCGGAGACCCACCCACATGGTGTTGCCTGGAGCAGGTTTCGGACAGGAGGTGCTCTGGAGGATAAGGAGGGATTTCCCCGCAGAGCTGTGACCTTCAGCCATCAGCCGTGGCATTTTTCCCTGGCTGGTCATCCACTAGGACTCATTAAACCATTTGACCCTAATGAGGATAAGAACAGGCTCCAGGAGCCATAGTGATTGGTGGAGACTTTGTTAACTATTATGGATTTGAATGTAGTAATGCCTGTTACTAGTCTGAGATGGAACAATCAAGCATTCCAGTTGATAGCCACTATTTTTCAAAAGGAAGCAAAATAAATGAATTCTATAAAACAACGGCCACATTTAGCTGCTATTAGGTTTAGAGGTCTGTGTGCACGCACATGTATCCACGCGTGTGTGCATATGCACACATGTGCATGTGTGTGGGTGCACATACATGTATGTGTGCGTGCACACACCTTGGTCTTTCCTGGGAACGGCAGGCACTGAAGTGGGAGCTGAGAGTGTGGCAGCTCGGGGGGCAGCAGACAGAGCTGCCCGCAGTACTGAGCCGCCCATCACTCAGCAGGTCAGGAAAGGGCCCCTTTTTCTCTGTGCTGGCAGGGCTGAGAGATTAAGGCGAAGGCCTGAATTATTTTCTAATTATCTTGCAGAGCATCCAGATTTTTTATGGTCTTAGCAGCCGTGCTGTTAGCTGAGAATAAATGCTTGGGAACGAAAGTGAATGGAAAGTGCCAGCCCTCGCACGCATCCCCGACACATTGCGGGGCACTCCGGCTATTACGAGCTCTTCAGCGTAGAGGGGGCAGATGCTCCTCGGCCTATGATGGGGTTCCGTCCCCATAACCCACCCTAAGTCCAAACGATCATAAACCACAGATGCATCTAATGCCTTGAACCTGCCTAAGGCCCTAGCTCAGCCTCGCCCACCTTAACGGTGCTCAGAGCATCCCGCTAGCCCACAGGTGGGCGATTCTCTTGCGTTCCATCTTGAGCCATTGCCTCCTCTTTTTTGCCCCAGAAGCAGGGGACACGGGTGGGTGTTTTGTAGACATGGCGGGATGTGGTAACTCAAAACACAACACCGAGAACACACTGGCCACGCTGAGCATCAGAGGGTCACCCTCGTCACCCCGCCACTCGGCATCACGACAGAGTATCCCGCCCCACGGCATATCACTAGCCCAGGAGAGATCAAAATTCAGAATGTGAAGTGTGGTTTCCGCTGAATGCGTGTCACTTTCGCTCACCGTAAAGTCGACAAATCCTAAGCGGAACCACCGTCAGTTGGGGACCGGTGCACTCACTTTTGTTTTCCCAGGGTCAGCTTTCCTCCAACCTGTGGAGAAGCTGCCCTGTGCTTACCTGCAGCCACGGTCACCTGCTCCAGGTGATGGCAGAACCCTCCTGCAGCCCGGCACCCACACCCCTGCCTCGTGGCCTCGGCCGCTTTGCCTGCCCCGTGCAAATGGGAAATCCAGGCCCTCCCTCCGGGAGGGGTTGGTGCAGCCTGGGGGACGGACTGGGGACAGTGACGGGGGGGGGGGGGGCTCATCCTCGGAGTGGACAGGAGGAGGGGAGGGTGAGACGGGCGATGAGCACTGCAGCTCCTGCTTTTCTGTCCCTGCTAGTGCCTCCCAGTGGCTGAGGAGGACAGGAGACCCCGGTGAGGCCTGCCGAGGTGGAGGGAATGCGGGAGGGACAGCGGGGTACACGGATGGCTCCACGCAGCTCCTCGCGGTGGGTGCCTCTGTGTGAGCCTCTGTGGCTGCTGGAATACGTCATCCCAAACCGAGCAGCTTAAAACAACGCAGATGTGTTATCTTACAGCCCTGGAGGTCGGAGCCCAGCAGAAGCCTCCGTGGCCGGGGCGGAGCTGTGGTCTTCCTGGCGGCTCCCAGAGGAACGCGCTCCCGCCTCTCCCAGGTCCCGTGGCTGCAGGGCGGCACCTTCGCAGCGCTCTGGCCCACTCCTCGCGATGCCCGGGGCCTGCCTGGAGGATCCAGGGTTGCCTCCCATCTCAAGGGCTGCTGTTTGGCAACCTTCTCCCTCGGCCTCATAACTAATCCATCCCCAGGCTCCGAGGGTTAGGGCGTGCACGTCTTTGGGGCCTTATTCTGCAACCCACCGTCGTGATCCCTGCTTTACAGGAGAGGGAATGAGAGAGAGGAGGGTAATCACTTGACCAAGGTTAATCTGCTGTGAAGCGGGGGCTGGGACCTGCACCCTGCAGGTCTGACTCCACAACAACATGGTGCTCTGAGGCTGTGATTAACACGAGCTCTGGGAGCCTGGGCCCCGTGCCTGCGGCAGGGGCAGCCGGGGACAGCAGCCGCGGGCTTCCACACTGATGGGTCCCAGCCGCCACCGCCTGCACTCGCTCTGTAAACGTTTTAGTCTTTTACATTCAAGACAAACGTACATACACTGTCCCCATGGGCACACGCAGCTGTGACACTAAAGGGTGCTTTCCCGAGCTGCGTGTGCCCAGGGACAGTGTACACGGTCTCTAGCCACAGGGCGCCAGGGGCCACGCTCAGCACGATCCGAGACCAGGGCCCATGGGAATGTGGACCCCACCCCCACCCAGAACTCCCCCACCCCGCTCTCTGGGAGGAACCCTGACCTTCCCATGGACCCTGTCCCACCTCCGACCCCACCGGTGGCCTGGCCTACGCCTCCTCTTTGCACAATGAGAGAATCAGACCACTTGTTCCCATAGTTCCGTGTCAGCGCCCACCCTGGCCAGGCTCTGTAAGGCGACCCCTGCACCCGTGCGCACGCGGGGACACGGCGGTGAGAGGTGGCTTCCTGGGGAAACTCACGTAGAGAATGAGGAGCAGGGCGCCAGGCCGTGGCGATGCCGGGGAGCGTTGGCAAACCGCTCTGCCGGCCAGGACGGGAATCATAATGTTCATTTTTCCTCTCTTCCTCCTGGAGACAAATATGAAACACCCAGGCACCGTTTCACTTTTTCATTCCCAAAGCTCATCAAACATTGACAGAGCCGACCTTCTCAGGATGGGAGGAGGTGAACTGTCTTCAAAATCAGTTTGGCTTTTTGAAGTAGCCGCGGAGCCAGCACTGACGGGCAGGCGGCCTGCGGGAGAAATCTGATCATCCATCGCGGGAGACGAGAGGAGGGGCCCGCTTTGGGGGTTCACGCACAGGGACGCCAGGCAGACGTGGAATGGAAGGGCAGGGGCGAGGGGTGGACACCCACCTCCGTCTCCCGTCCTCTGGCCCCTCGGAGGGCCTGGATGCCCAGTGGCGGGGCGGGGACACTTGTCCGCACTAAGGGAGTGAGGTTTCTCTTTGGTGGCCATGAAAGGACGCGCTCCCAGAGAACGCTGGTGACAGGGTTGGAGGTCCATCATGAAGGGACATCTATTTGCCCAGTTTCCCGATGAGTCTGCAGGGAAGCCGCCTGGTGGTTTGCCAAGCAGAGTGCTGACGCCTCCGTCCTAATCCCACTGTCTTCCAGCCGAGCACAGCGACGGGTCGGGCTCCGAAGACGGCCTGGAAGACCCGAACGTGAAAACCAAGAGGAACCGGTAGGTGTCCTGTCTTTCCTCTGGCTCTTCCCTCGGCAGAGGATTAGGTGGCGGAGAAAGAAAAGGACTGTTGGACTCTGTTGACCGAGCAAAGCAGGGATTCAGCGCTGAACAGAGGCGGGAGGTCTGAGGTTCATCTCAGCGACGACACGTGGTGGGAAGGCGTCTCGGTGGCTCTGGCCCCTGGAGCCCGTAGGAGTGGACAGGGGTGACCAGGGGCTGGGTGGTGCCCTGCGCTGGGTGAGGGGTGGGTTTGGGGTCTGACAGCTCCGGGTGGGCATTCAAGCTCTGTCCCACTGGCTTTGGGATTTGAGGCAAAGCAATTCCACCTCCATCTCGGGGTTTTCATTTGTCAAAGGCGACGGCAGACGCTTGAGGTGGCGCCTGCGTGAGCTGACCCCATGTGGCTGCCTGTCGCCCTCGGGGAAGGGTGGCTCAGTGAAACCCTTTCCCCAGGAGAGACCTTTCCCACCCCACTCGGCCAGGATGGAGCGGGTACCCAGGCAGTGTGGCCTTGGGGCCGCCGCCCTCTCCCTCGGGACAATGATGGCTGCAGCGAGCTTTATGAAAGTATCCGAATTTACTTTTAGTTGACGGCACCAAAGTCATTCAGCCATGAGAATATTAAAAATCTATTTAGCAAGTTTGCATTTGCCTTTGGCCAGTTCTGATTGAACCGAGAGCTCGGGCTGCAAGACGCCCTGAGCTCCTGAACCACATATTTTGTTGAATGAGCTTGAGCGTGAGATCGGCGCCGAGCTCCCGGCACTCTTATTCATCTTATTTCAAGTTACAACAATACGAGTCTTGTTTCCACGCTTCTATTTTTAACCAATGGAAATCTATTACGAAGAAATCCTAATTATACTCTTCGGATTATACAATTGCAAATCCACTGATAATTTTCTTTTTTCAAAATTCCACACCATCACCTATGAAGCAAAGCTTGTACGTTCTCCCGAAATAGTGGGTGTATAAATAAGATTTCCTAATGGGCTGAGCAATCATTTCTTTTCTTTGCACATTTTGCATTAGTAGGATTCTTCCCTATTGCAGCCCTCGTGGGTGAAAACCCTTGTGAGACACAGAACATGCTTAGCAGGCCCCCTTCCCCCGCTTGGTCCGATGGATGCTCACAATACCCTGGACAGACATGGGCAGGAAGGCCACGTACTTGGAGGGTGTCGGGAGGTGGGGACTTGCCTGGTCCTGGCCACTAGGTGACCATATGACCTTGAACGGTCCCATCGCCTCCTCCCCAAATGCAGTCGTGCAGACTGCCCGGCGTCCTGAGAGTCCCCAGGTAGGCGCACTGTCCCCGGGGAGGGCTGTCCTGAGCATCGCAGGGCTAGCAGCACCCCTGACCTCCACTCCTGGGAGCTGGGAGCGCCTCCCCAGTGTGACCACCACAGATGTCCCCGGACACTGTCTAGTGTCCCGGAAGCAAGTCACCCTGACGAGCACTGGGCTAGACGCACATCAGAAAGTCTGGACGTGCCCTAGTCGGTTTGGCTCAGTGCATAGAGCGTCGGCCCACGGACTGAAGGGTCCCAGGGTCGATCCCAGTCAAGAGCACGTACCTCGGTTGCAGGCTCGATCCCTGGCCCTGGTAGGGCAAATGTGGGAGGCAACCAATGGATGTGTCTCTCTCTGCCTTTCCCCCTCCATTCTACTCTCTCTCTAAAAAAAAGAAAAGAAAAAGAAAAAGAAAGCCCAGATGTGACTGTGTGAGGGACTTTACCCACTGAACCCCCTGAACCCCTGGGTCCCGGTCTCCCTGTTGTCACTGAGTCTCGTTTTGGGTTGGAACTCAGGACAACACCTGCCATACCCTGAGGGGTGACAGAGCAGTTTCCCCATCACCGTCCTCCAGGCGTTTGTGCAGAACCAAGGCCTCTCCCGGAAAAAACAGAGCCAGGTGTGAACTCCGATGATTTGTGAGACTCGGCCTCCTTCCCCGTGGGCCCGTGGCTGCTCGGCCCCCCGGTGCCCCCTCCACCAGCTCCTCGCCGGCTGCCCATCAGTTAGGGTTTCGGTCGCAGCTTTCCACCCGAAATGCACCAAAGCAGTTTGCACGGCGAGAGCCGATGCCTCCACCTCCGCTGGGGTGACTGCACCAGGATTCAAAATGAGTTTCCCGAGAATAAGAGTCTTTGTTGATAAAGAGCTCCTCCGAGGGCTTTGGAGGCCGCGATGGGGTGCGTTTAACTCTCTGTGTCTTGTGCCCTAAAGGACCGAAGGCCAGGTGAGCCCTGGCCCAGAGGAGGCGGAGAGAGAGGACAAGGGCACCAGGACGCCACCGCCGCCCCAGATCCTCCTGCCGCTGGAGGAGCGGGTGACCCACTTCCGAGACATGCTCCTGGAGAGAGGGGTAAGCACCCGGACCCAGGGCCAGCTCTCGGAGCGAGGAACCGTGCCGCTGTCCCCAGCCACGGAGGTCACTTCCAGGAAGCTCCTGTCTGTGTTAAGAGTCCTGCTGGCGCCCGGCCAGCTTTCAGGGTCCACCCCTCCCAGAGGGACCCCCTGGGCTTCCTGACTCAGGCAGGGTCTTCACGGCTATGGGTTCGTCTGACTGTTTTTCGTTTCCAAGCTTTCTCCATTGCAGGTGGCTACGCATCCCATGTTGAACTTAATGGGGGGAAACACGTTATAATCGAATCTCCTCCCGGTGCCTTTTATGTCCTGCTCTGGCCTTTGGGTAGGAAACGCGCTGGAACACGCGCTGAGCCCAGTCGGACTTCTTCAGAAATGAGACTGAGCGCAGAGGCAGCCACGGGGCCTGTGTGCGAGGGTAATCGCAGTGAGCGCTGTCGGTGACCTTGGGGATTCCAAAGCAAGTTCCGCACAGCACCCGGGGCAGGTGCCGTGGAACTGGGGTGCGGGGCCGTGGGGAAGAGAGCTCCCCCAGAACAGCGGTCTGAGCAGGGCCCCGCAGAGCCGGGCTGGAGTGCGGGCACCAGGAACAGACGATCCCTGCTCTCAAGAATCAGAAGGGGGTTCTTGCAGCCACTCTCCCCAGAGACGCCCCCCTCCTTTGCACCAGGACTTTTAATGCCCCCCTTGCTTCCTCTACTGACCGTTCACCCCCAAATAAAACGCAGCCCGGGACACAGGGGACTGGAAAGGAAATCGGACGTGGGAACTGGAAACCACAGTGCAAGGGCTTTCCCTGAAATAGCACGTCACCGAGGAACACAAAGGCGCAAGGCAGGGAATGCCAGGGACACGCGGGAGGAGGTCCTGGTGGGAGGAGGTCGCTCTTTGTTTTTTAAGGACGTGATTTTAAAACTGGATGTATCTATAAGCTGCAAATTCATTTCAGAAAGGGTCGTAGTCCCTCGGACCAGGATGAAAAGAACCGGGGCCAGGGCGGGGCTCAGGGTGCACCTGGCGTCCTGCCCCTTCCTGCTCAGCCATCTGCCCGCCCTTTCTCTGGGCGTCCCGGGGGATGTCAGCCGTGCGAGGCCCATGGAGACGGAGACGCCCTCCCTGCCACCCAGTGGAATTGCTCGTTCTGGGGCCATCGGACTGGCCTCGTGGTCCTGGAGGCTAGTACCCAGTGTCACCGCGGGTCACTAGCTGTGGTGGCCGCCCTGCCCGCCCCTCCTTCCACTCTTGGCACGGGGTCCCCTTCCTGGCCCTGCCTGCTGCCCCTGCCCCGGCTGCCGTATGATGCTCTGCCTCCCTCCATGTTGCCCGGCTACTGAGCGAGCCGCAGCTCCTGGAGCGTTGGGGCCTCCCGACATTTCTTGAGGCTTCATCTTATTCAGATCTACATTTTCATCTCTTTGCTTTGGAAACCCACCAGCCCCAATTCACCGTCACCGCATCACACTGACCTGCGTGAGCTCAGGGCTGCCCGAGGGACCCCCCTTCCCTTCCCGGGGACGCCGGCCGGCTGCGTTTATATGGGCTCATGAATTGATCCCAGTGGCCTTGGTTGAGCGGTTTTCCTAATGAGATTTCCAGAGCATCCCTGCCTCACGGAGGTGGGAGGCTCCGTTCGGCCTTAGATCCTCCCCCCTGAGCATTGGCCACGGGGAAGGAGAGCCCCAGCCGGGTGTTGGTTCCCGGGGAGAGAGGCTGCGGTGGAGCCCGAGCCCAGACCTCAGGCCTCCTGAGCAGTTCCGAGGAAGCCCACACGCAGCCCCCGGGTAGCAAAGACCGACTGAATGACTGCTGATGGCAGAGAGCAAGGCCGCTGTTTATGGCTTTGACTTTATAAAACATGCAGGCAGACTTCATAAGTTACTGGTGCCCATGAGGATGCTATAGCTGAGCCCATCAGATTTCTAGTTGCTTAACAATGAAGCAGAGAAAGGTCACTTTTTCATGAGCTGCGTGATTAATACGATGTTTCATTGCCTTTGTCCAGAAATGCATGTGCTTATGGAGTGATGAGGCGCGGTCCTGTGGGTTTCTAGTTTACAAGGGGCACGTTTGAGGTATTCCTGGGCTTGGGGTGGGTGCAGGGCCTTCTGCTTTGTGGTTTGGTAGCAGGTAATTGATGGCTCCGTGGAAGCTTTTGTTTTTATTTTGTTTCCCTGCACAAACCACAGTGCAGCCTCCTGGTAAACTTCAGCGTCTAAAGGGGCCAGTGTAATTGAACCTCAGGTTATTCATCTAATCCCGCCTATGTAGGTAAATGAGTTCAGAATGATTTACCGGGACCTTCTTCCTTCTGCAAGGCCTCCCTCGGAAGTGAGCATGGCTTTCCCAGGAGCCGGGAACGGGAAGGACTCTCGGGAGCCCTCGCTCTTCATTCGGGGACTCGGGGCTGCAGGTGCGTGGGGTCCTCGCAGGGCCCCTCTGTGGGTGACCCAGAGGCCACTAACACAGGCCAGCTCCTGGGGTTTGGCTCCGAGTGTTAGATTGAGGACATTGCAGATGGCACACTCACCCCAGCCCGGTCACCCGGTCTCCACCCGCACTAAGACAGCCACCGACCTGAGGTTGTTGGGGTGAAGTTGGTACAAATGAAGCAGAGGCTCGTTATAGGGGGCCTGGGGCTGACGGGGCAGCTGGCGCCTTCTCCCAGGCAGCAGGAGGGCCCTGCCTGTGAGTGATGGGTAAACGGCGTCACTCTCCGGGACTGTCATGCACACGCTCGTCCTCATGTGCAGGTCACGGGTGGCGGGGAGGTGGCCCTGGACGCGAGGGAGAGGAGCGACGTGTGACTTGAGTCCTGGGCGCCGTGACGTCTGCTCCACAGGGTGCCTCTTTGCTCTTTGGGAAGCTTATCTGCCTCGGGTTCCTATGGCAACGCTTCAAAATCTCACAAGACACATAATAATACCGCTAATAAAGTTATGCTATAAAAGAATGCATGCTTATTATAGAAAATGTGCACAATATTAAGAGTATAAATAAGAAAAATCCCCTGAAATGCCACTCTAAGAGACAGTCAGTACATTCATTGGGTACATTTTCTCCCAGTCTTTTTTTTAAAAGTATCAAGAATGAGCATTTAATCTTACAGCATAAGGAATATTGAACTGTGCTATAGTTAAATGTGGCTGAACATTAATTTTTTAAATATATATTAAACATTAATATTTTACCTATTTTATACACTTGTATACTATTTCCTCCTTTTAATAATTTAAAAAAATATTAATATACATTTTTGGAAAACGTTTCTTGATGAGGCATAAATTGTTGGTTCAAAAATCCTGCATTTCCTTTATTTAGTGCATCTTGCATTTGGCTGTTTTGAATGATGCTCTGATGGTGCACCCCCCCGGCTCCCCCCCTCCCCCAGGCAGATCTTGGTCATTGTGAGGGTGTGTTCCCTGCACCCTGTGAGCACGTGCCCAGCATCCCCGCTCATTGTGAAGCAGGCTCCTCACCCCAGGCCCTCCCGGCAGCGATGCTCGAGGTCCTGAGACCGTGCGGCCAGCTCGCTCCGCCAGCGCCGGGCAGCGAGAAGCTTGGCGTTTACTGTTGATCGTTTGGGAATCTCCTTGTTCTTTTCCTCGGGTTGAGGCTTCCTCCCGGCTTCTCTGCTGTGGTTCCTCTTTCCCGGATGGGCCGCCAGGGCCTTGGGGACACAGCTCTTCAGACAGTCACATCTCCGTCAGCATTAGACAGGCTCTGCCCGCGAAGACGGCCCCGGTTCCTAGGATGGGTTACAACGACCCCGAGTGGGAGGATAGCCCTGAAAGTCAGTTAAGTCAGCCAAGCATATGGTGGAATAAGAGTGTACAATTGTATTTATCCGTCAAAATGGAAACAACAACAACCCTGAATTAGTAAAATACTATGAGCACTGGGAGGTGAGGGGTGGGAGTCGGGGTGTCCAGGCCCCTTGCCTCCCTCTGCTTCCCCTGCAGGAACCTGGCTCACCTGACTCACCTGGGCTCATGGAACTTTCCACGGGCCGACCACTCCCACCTCTAAATTCAGGATTAAACATCTGCTCAGCCCAGCAGGCGGGCCGACCACTCCCACCTCTAAATTCAGGATTAAACATCTGCTCATCTCAGGCCGGTTCCGGCATGTTCTCCAGGACCCTGCCAGGCCTCCTGTACCGTCCGTGGCTTCTCCTTCCCCGTGACAGTCTCCGTGAGCCCGGAATCACCTCCCAGGTGCACTGGCTGCACCCCAGCCCCTATCATCTGTGAGCCCGGAATCACCTCCCAGGTGCACTGGCTGCACCCCAGCCCCTATCTCGGGGCTGCTTCCCAGAAATTCAAAGGATGACACTGTCTCACTGTCAAGGACACGCCAAGGGCACAGCCTCCCCCTCCAGCCTGTCCACTTCCTCTGGGTGGTGTCCATCTCCCGCTGCCTGTAACGGTCAGGAGCTCCCGCGCCAGAGACAGAAGACGCGGGCGAGCGTTGCAGGAAATTGGCTAAAGAGGGTAATGGTGTGAGTGCTAATTGCAAAGAACAGTGTTTGTTGTCAGCCTGAGCAGCAGACGGGAGGGAGGGCTGGAAGGGAGGGCAGAGGGTGGCCAGGCGGCTCCTCAAGAACGGAATTGGCAGCATTGGGGCTCATGGGGGGCGGCCGTGGGGTGCTCAGGCCAAAGGGACGTTTATGCACCTTCTTCAGGGGCCTCTGGGTCTCCTGTGTGGTTAAGCGACTGTCACGTCCACCTGCCCCCAGTGGCCTTGGTGCCCCTCAGGACCTGGCACCTGCTTCCCCACTTCCCTCCACCAGGTGAGAAAGGCCCTGTCCCTCCTCCCTGAGGCCTGTGGTCCATCCCCCGAGACCAGGGGAGACGGGAGTTGGCAGGAGGGAGAGAGCCCGTGGTCCGTGGATCACCCACCAACACAGCGTGTTTGATCGTAAAATTTGCTAAAAAACATTAACTTCCGAAGTAACTGGATTTTTGTTTGAGATGGAGATTGGCCCCTTACGGAGCCCTGGGCACCCCAGTGCCGTGGTCCAGAGCTGAGGCAGCAGCAGCTCCTCTGGGCCCCAATACAGTCAGGCAGGAGGCGACGAGGATGAGGAGGGCGGTGCGGACAGACAGTCACCCGGATGCACAGGGAGCCAGGACGGGGTTCCCAGCTGCTCAGAGGGGAGCCCCTGCCTCAGCTGTAACTGAGTGAGCCAGACGGCGCTGACACCCCCCCTACCCCCCCTCCGAGGCAGACAATTGATCCTGCGATTCAGAACTTGGCAGAGCCGTCCTTGGCCATCTTCCTGCCCGTCCTCCGGCCTTTAAGTCCCGGCCTCTTCTGGGATCCAGGGATTGACAGAGACTCAAAATAGCCTTTGGCTTTGAAGATCAAAGCAGCGTCTGCTGCCCGCAGGCGCCCCTGCCTGCCGAGGTCTGGTCTAGAGACGGAGGGACTGTCGCCGGCATCGGGCGCTAAGGGACTTACGTGATCTCACCTTTTAGCCCGAGCTGAACTCTCAGACACTTTACTTAAACGGGATCCATTTTCCTCCAAAACGCAATCTCCCCAGCGGCCACGGCGGCCCTTTGCTCGGTGCTCGGATGGGCTCTGGTGATGCTGGGACTGAGGCGGACCCGTCTCATCCGTGACTTTCCTCCTTTTGTGCTCAAGACTGTGCACCCCCGCCCTGCCCCCCTCCCTGGCCTGCTGACCCCCGGGGGGCTTTGGTGAGGGCCACCCTTGAACTCTGTCCTCTGGGTGGGACAGCTCAGTGCTCAGCTGGTCAAGAGGCAGACAATGGAGCTGTTTGTTCTGACAAAACACGTTGTTGGGGTTTCCAAACGAGACATTTTCACAAAGAGGCGTTAAAACAGCTGTAGAAGGAAGGGCCGGTCCCAGGGGCTGCAGACAGGGCACCAGCTTCGACCTTGAGCTGCAGCCTCCCTCCGCCTGCCCTCCCTCCAGCCGTGGCATCTGCAGGTGCAGATGGTGCCGCACAGGGATGCCGTGCCAGCCAGCCACCACAGTGACCTCTGACCCTGCCCGATGTGGCCACTTTCTGGCAGTGGCATCTGTCGGGTGGAGGTGGGCCCTGCCGCTCCTCCTGTGCTGTAGACGCCAGCTCTGGTGTCTCCGCTGGAGAAACGGCAGGGGACAGCCAGCCACTCGACACAGTGACATCAGAGGACCTTCGCTGAGAGGCTGGCGGCTGCAGGGGCGAGGACACGCCGGCCAGCACAGCCCACAGTGGGGGAGGCCACATCCCACGACTGCCAGGGCAGAGGACGACTCCAATCCCGGGTGAAATGAAGACCGTGTGTAAATGCGAGAGGCCAGCGGCTCTGCCCACCACGGTGACAACAGATGCGCTCCCGCCAAGACAGACGGCTTCCCCTTCACGGACAGCGCCGGCCACCGGTGGGCGCACGCTGGATGCCCAGACGTTTCTGGAAGGACAGCTGCTGGTTGTCCAGAGCTGACACGACGAGTGGGGAACATGGTTCCGGAAGGACATGGAGTCAGCCTCATAGTCAGGCTGCCGTAGGAGGCTGGACGTCACAGGGGAGGGTGTGAACTGCCTGAAGGGTCCCATTCAAGGACCAAATGCCACAGAATCCAGGGAGCGCGAGGTGCGATGGGTAGAGATCGGTGTTGGAGATGAAGGGAAGTTCGGGAGAGAACGGCACTGGTCTGGGGGTCCTGTGCGTGGGCAGAGTTCTAGAGGCCCCAAGACCGCACCCCTGGGTGCATGATCCAGAACAGTGTGGGCGGGGCCTGTGGACAGGGTGGGGGTCACCAGGACAACGTCACACTGTGAAGGGTGCTGTGGAGAAGAGGGTGCCTTACTGTGGAGGGGAACCCCGGGGCTCCTCGGGGCTGAGAACGGGCCCAGGGGGCGCTCAACCTGCCCCATAGGAGAGTCCCTGTTGCGGGCAGCGAGGGCCCTGTGTCATGCTCATGCTGTCTGGCTCCCGCCTCCGTCCTGGGCCCACGCCCCGGCCACCCTCTCTCTCGACTACTCAGCCCTGCAGGAGGTTAGCGTGGCTGCCCGGGGATACGACGATGCCTGTTTTAGCGCCATAAATTATAGTCGCTGTCGACGTGGCTCATCTCAAGTATTCACAGATTGTAGATTCGGTCAAAGGCAAGGATGATATACTGTTAATTTTTAAAAAATGTATTTCATTATGCATCTACACCTCTGAAGAGTGTCAGCAAACGGGTGGAGTGAGTTATGTGACACGAGTCCCTGGCAGGGCCCACAGGAGACATGAGACTAAGTGTCACGTGGTTCGTAGGTAGGAGCCTGGGCAGGAAGGGAGAACTAGGTGGACACTGAAGACCTCTGAGAGCAGTGTGGGCTTTTGTGAGCGTCGTGTGGAAGAATCGAGAGAATGTGGAGATGTTGACAATATGGACATCTAGGTGTGGGGTACATGCCAACTTCGCAATATGCTTGTGACTTCTCCGTAAACCTTAAACTATTGCCAAAAAAAATAGTTTTAAAAAATAAATCCCACCTCAAAAAGGGTTAAGTGTGGATTCAAAATCAACTAAGCCCAGCTGGTATGGCTCAGCAGTTGAGCATCAACCCAGGAACCAAGAGGTCACTGGTTCGGTTCCCAGTCAAGGCACATGCCCAGGTTGCAGGCTGGATCTCCAGTAGGGGGCTTGCAGGAGGCAGCCGATCGATGATGTTTCTCTCTCATCGATGTTTCTATCTCTCTATCCCTCTGCCTTCCTCTCTCTCTAAAAATCAATAAAGGAAAAAAAATTAAAAATCAACTAAAATGATGCTCCACTCAGACTATTTGCAGGGCGTGGCCTCTCCCTGGGCTGAAGTTTTACGGTTCCCTTTCTTCCTTCAAGCTGTGACAACCCAGCGTGTCACAGCTCCAAGGATGTACGGGGCTTCGGGTCAGAGACGTGTGGCCCTGAAAGACGTCCCAGGAAGAAATAGGGTCACAAGAGTAGACGTGAAACTTCCTAGTGCTCTCAGCATGGACGTCTTAGAAGTTTGACGCGTCGAACACTTTTCGGCAGCACTGCATCCCCGCCCCGGTGGCCTGAAGGCTGTCCTCGGCCCGTGACCTTGTCTGCAGATGCAGGCTCAGCACAGGTGCTAAAAACAACTCTGTTCCTCCCCCCTGCAGGTGTCAGCGTTTTCTACGTGGGAGAAAGAATTGCATAAGGTCGTGTTTGATCCCCGCTACCTCCTGCTGAACTCCGAGGAACGGAAACAGGTACCAGGTGGCAAGGCCTGGGGACAGCCTGGGGACGCGGCATCGGGATGACCCGCCTGGGAGCACGGCTGGCGGACAGATGCCGCCGTCCGGGGGAGGTGTGGACGGGTGCTCCAGCCGGGGAGATGGTGGCCGGTGTGTGGCGGGTCTGGAGGAAGGGTATTCTGTCACCTGCTTGATGAGCTCGCCCTGGATGATCGTGTTAGGGAGATGAAGGTCTGTTGTATGAACGGGGAGACGGGAGAGGCCCAGGGAACCGTGTCCCTAAGTAAAGGGTGGACGTCCCCACAAAGGACAGGGCCGGATCGCGGGTAGCCTGCCTGGAGCATGTTTCAAAGGGAGGCCTGGCCGACGGGCGCTTGGTCCCGAGGCCAAGGAGGAAGGGAAGGAGCTGGTGGCTGGTGCACTGGGCACGAGCGTCCGCAGAGGGTAGATGCCAGCGTTCAGGAGAATCCGGCCACCCCGGGGAGAAGCGGTAGTCTAGGAGGCGTGGAACCGAGGCTGACCTGATCGGGGGACGACAGCTGGGCCACATTCAAAATATACAGCCCTGTTTACGCATGGAAGCATCCCACTCGGAGCCTGTGAGGGCCTCCCGTCAGCAGCGTGGTCATGGTGAACCCTGAGGGTCCTGGGGCGGCGGAGGGGAAGCGGGTGAGCCTAGACAGGGAGCAGGGTCCAGGGTGCAATCAGACCCGTTTCTATGGTAACGCGTGGTGTTTCATCTTGTTACACTAGCACATGCCATCCTGGGACGAGAGCCAGCAGGGTCTCTGTGGGAAAGCCAGATCCCACTCTGAATAAAACGGGTCCAGTTTGCTAAAGAGGGACAAGCCCTGCGGCATGAAGTGATGCTGCGTAAATAACGCGGCAGAGGGAGCAAAGGGAGAGGAAAGAGGGGCATCTGATCAGGCGGATAAACGGCTCTGGGCAGAGAGAGGGCCGGGCTCTCTCTCCAGATTTAAAATGAATAGAGCAGGACTCCCACCAACAGCAGAGCCGCACGCTCCTGTTTGGGTAATAACCCCGCGTTCACCTTCCCGATGAGTTAAAATACCAGGCAACCGGGGAGATTACATCACCGCCTGCCATGAAGGGGGAATCAGCCGGTCACATCCCGACTTCGTACATGTGCGCGCGTTGTCCCTTTAAGTGCCCTGCGTGGATGTCTCTGCTGCTGCGTCTTCAGGGGGCGCCCAGCGTCCCGTGTGTCTCATCCCAGAGGCTTGTGACGGATGGAATCCAGAGCCAGAGACAAGCCGCAGCGTCCGTCAGCCCATCCTGTCCCCTCCGCCCTGTCCTGTCCCGGTCCCCTCGGCAGGAAGGCGAGGCTTCCGGGCACCCACGTCGAAGCCCGCCCTCCGCCAGGGCCACTGGTCGGAATGGCACAGAATTGCTCGTTATTGGCCTGATAGGATCCCGTGTGGGATTTTCATTCATCTTTTCATTTGTGTTCACACACACCTTCAGGTGATGTTCTCCTTCATGTTCCTGAGGCTCGGAGGGCACCGGCAACCAGCAGCCCTGCTCTGCCCACCGTGGCTTTAGCATCTGGAACGACCCTTTTCCTGACGTTAGAACAATGAGCCACCTTAACCTACCAGAGGAGGGCCACCCCAGTGCCCCAGAGAAACCGCCCCGTCCTGAGGGATTTGCCTTCCGGGCGTCCACGCCCTTCCCAGTGCGGGCCAGGGGTCCCTGCAGACACACGGCTTGTCAACCTCGGGCGGCCAGTGTCCAGGCCGGGTCTCCTCTTGGTCCTTTCTGCTTTGATGACCTACCCGGTGACCTGGAGGCTCTGTGACACCCCTGGGAGAGGGTGACCCTGAGCCCACACTCACAGGTGGGTCTTTCTGGAGGCCAGAGTGTGCGGAATCAGGTGCCGCACTGACTCACAGACAATGACGTTGCCATAAGAATCGACGAGAACAGAGTACGTCCTCTGCGTGTTGCTGGCTGTGATGTGAGAGTTGGCGGGACGGGACTGCAGGCTGCTCTCCGAGACCCAGGAGGAGACTCACGGGGGCCTCAGGGCTGGGCGTCCGCACTGCCAGCTCTGCACAGCCAGCCACTCCCCGGCGATTTGGTGTCAGAGGGATGGTGCCTGCAGGGGCCGCATGCTGGCCTCCCGGGGGGGACCCAGGCGGAGTCCTGGGCAGTGACCCCTCCAAGGTTCGTGGCTTGTAGCTGCAGCCCCTGTGAGGAGAAAGGCTCGCCTCCGGTCTGCTGTCCCCTGTAGTGTCTGAAACACAAACTTGCATGTCTGATACGCAGCCCCCTAATACTTTTCTCTTGTGTGTGTTTTCAGATATTTGAACAGTTTGTCAAGACGAGGATAAAAGAGGAATACAAGGAAAAGAAAAGCAAATTGCTGCTAGCCAAAGAAGAATTCAGGAAACTTCTGGAGGAGTCGAAGGTGTCGCCCAGGTATGGAGAGATATACACCAGGAATAGGGGTGGGGTGGGTAGAGGTGCCCCCTGGACCAAGGCTGAGCTTTCCCCTGCACCCCAGGTGCCCTAGCCGCTCAGGCCCAGCCCCCCGCCAGGCTCCGAGGGAGGCAGGTCTGAACACCTGCACGCGGCCCCTGGGCCTCGGCCGCTCTGTAGCTGTCTCAGCTCCTGAGCTTCAGGTCCAGACCTGGAAGGAGCGAAAGCCCTGAGGACCCCGCGCTGGCGAAGGTTCCATGACCCCTCTCCAGTGACCTCACAGGGTCTCCCTGGCCTGGCAGTTACGGATTCAGTCCACCAATATCTGGGTGCTCACTACACCCGGCCACAGGGCCAGACCTTCAGGATGTCCAATGGGAACAAAGCCGATACTGGCGTTCCCACACCCGTGAGGAAGGATCCAGTAAACTGCACTATGGAGGCTTATGGAGGTATAACCTTGACGAAGGTCATGCCCGAGCCATGCACAGGTCTCTGGCCCTCTAGATAGGGAGCATGTTCTCGAGGAAAATATGGTCGGCCTGACGCTTAATAATGAGTGGGCTTTAAATGATGAGTGAAGAAATAAGGGAAGGGTGTGCCAGGCAAGGGAACAGCATATGCCAAGACCCGTGGCAGGTTGGTGATTGGTAAGAGCAAGAGACGGAAGAAGACCTGTGTGGCCAAAACAACGATGGGGGGCAGGTGGGCAGCAGCGGGCTCAGAGCGAAGAGGCCGGAGAGGCAGGGAGGCCAGCCTCATTTCTAGAGGCTCTTGGATGTGCCGATGGGGGGTCTGCAAGTGAAAGTATGCACACACCTTCGATGGGTCTGTAGCCCCAGTAGGAGTAGCCCAGTGTGGGGAGCAGGTGGGTCAGCTGTTGGAGGCCCAGAGCTACTCCCTCTAGCCCGTTGATCCCCCCAAACTCCCTGCTCCCCTGGCCCTGCAGCTGGACGTGGGGAAGGGGTGCCCTCCCTCTCCGGCACGGCTGGCGGGCACGGTTCCGGAACACCAGGACTCGGCTCAGGGAAGGGCTTAGCAGGACCTTCTTGCTTTTCAGGACCACATTCAAGGAGTTTGCTGAGAAGTATGGCCGGGACCAGAGATTTCGACTTGTTCAAAAAAGGAAGGACCAAGAGCACTTTTTCAACCAATTCATCCTTTCGCTTAAGAAACGGGACAAGGAAAACAGACTCAGGCTGCGGAAAATGAGATGAGTGTGTGGAAAATGCAATAAGACTGAGCGTCGCGGGAAAGGGGTGGGCGGTGGGGGAGGCCCCGGCTGCGCAGCGGGGGTGCCTCCCGGGCCGGCTCAGTTCTCAGAGGATTACTGTTTCATATTGAAGCTTTTTGTACCACGTGCAGAGTTTGATGCATTTCTAATTGCCATGCCATGTGGATCCCTTGGTTGTTTTAATTCTGCAAATGACTTGTAATATATACAGATGCTAAACCCACTGCAGGTTGGTAACTCGGCAGAAGCGGGCACCATCTGAAACCGTCTCAAGGCGTTTTCCCGAGCTGAGCCGACTCCCTGCAGCCTCCCTGCCAACCTCTGTGAGTCCCTGCGGGCCCCCAGGAGTTCCCGGAGCCGGGGCGCTCCTCACTCAAGTGTCCTCACGTCTCCGTCTAGTTTTCTGCGTAGTAGCAATAGGGTACTTTATCATTCCTCATAGTGACATCTGTGAACACCAGGGCACAGGGACGGGGGGGGGGCACCCCCAGGTGTCGTAAGGTAATCACCTCATACCCCCGGGACACCCGGCCCAGAGAGGGGGCTGCACTGCCTGCGGAGGTCCCACCGAAAAAGAATTATTTTGTACAAAACCATCCAATGACATTTGAGTTATTTTTATTGTATGCCCAGAGTGTGCATGGGACTTTTCTCATCATCTTTGTATAGAAAAGAATTTAAAATTTTTAAATTAATAAATATTTTAAACCAATGTGTTTTTGTGGCGAAGTCTTCCGACACAACCTTAAGCAGCAAAACTGAGTGATAACTGAAGATACTCTATTTTGAAACATTCACAAAAACATTGAGGATGGCCCAGATGGGCTCTCTATATCCTACTCAAACAAAACTCCTCCTTTTCAACGTACAATGACGTGGGATAAAACCCCGGATAATGAATCGTGTTCTTTAAGTGATGGAGCACCCACCTACTCACTCCCAGGTGCAGGGAGTGTCTATTCAGAGACGTTGCCCCTGTCCCTGGTCCACAGTGGCACCACCTCCCCGCCTGCCTCTCAGTCCCACGCATATTAGGACACACCTGGGCATGTGGTTTCTCTCTCTTAGGCTGTGCCCTGGTCTTCATGCCGGTGCTGTTCACAGGTCTCTCTCTGTGTGGTGCTGGGCCATGGCTTGGGGGAAGGCCATGGCCCAGTGGGGTGTCTTCTAGGGCATCACTGGGAATCGAACCTTGACCTCCTGGTTTATAGGAGGCTGCTCCTGGGGAAACCAATCCCACTCCCATCAGCCAGGGTCTCATCGGGAACCAGAAACCACCTTGTGATCTGAGCAGGGCCGTTTCATGGGAAGAAGTCTAACTCTGACGGATTCGTGTTAAGGCCAGCAAGGACAGAGACGGTGGCGGACAGAGGGATAGCTGACCTAAGAAGCAGCCCTTACCCCCAGGGCTCGAAGAAGCCTCTACAGAAAGTGCCTCCCCGCCCGGCAGGTGTGGCTCAGTGGTTGAGTGTCGACCTATGAACTAGGAGGTCAGGGTTCAATTCCTGGTCAGGGCACATGCCCGGTTGAGGCTCGATCCCCAGTCGGGGGCGTGCAGGAGGCATCCGATCAATGATTCTCTCTCTTCATTGATGTCTCTCTCTCCCTTCCTCTCTGAAATCAGTATATTAGAACAAAGGCAGAGGTTCCGCCCTCGCTGGAGAAGGCACATCTGCTCAGCAAGTGGCAGGGATGTCACTGCTGCTCCTGTGCTGGAACCACCTCTCGGCCCGGGAGAGCCCCCCTGTGTCCTCAGCTGCTGGCCACCCAGGCCTCAGAGGAGGGGCGCCGGGGAGCTGCAGTGACCCCGTGACGTAGTCATCTACAGGACGGGGCTCACTGGGGACAGGCCCTGGCCAACCAGACATTTCCTTCCATGTTCTGTCTTCTGTCCCTTAACAGGAGTCCGACCCCATCTCCTGCCACGGCAGCAGGACCGGGTGTCCAGGGGAGCACAGTGAGGTCGAGCTGGCCGGTGGCAGTGAGCAGACATTCTAAACGTTTTCGTTTTGGGGGAAGGGGGGGCAGATATGTTGGATTATCAAGAAAAAAACCCCCTTGGGATGCCCAAACGTGGAGTTCCCAGAACTGAATGGGGGCAGAGCGAAATGGCGATGAGCCGGCAGCCATGTGTGTGGTGTGTGCACACGTGTGTGTGCACATGTGCATGCAAACAGCCCATGGTGGAACCTGGTGCTCAAGTGTGGCTCCCAATTGTCCCCTCTCTACACCTCTGTCACCACCCCCTGCTCACAGTCCCTCCCGGGAGCGTCCAAATGCCTGCATTTCCCCGTGCCCCGCGCTGGTGCTGGTCGTGTCTGGGATGTGGAACAAGGGATCCTGATCCAATCGGGCCTCCGAATGCAGAATCAGTGTGTGCATGAAGCGGCCATTTCCCGGCGTCGGGGAGCTGTTCCTTGCACGTCCGACCGTCTCGGTCAGAGCGGGGTCCCCCCAGGACAGCGGTGGTGGAGCGCGCTGACAGGGAGCGTGTCACTGTAGCTCATGTTCACGGCCACTAAATTTTGGCTAAACCACTGGACCGGGGCCGTAATGGGAAGACATAAAAGGGGCCCACAAAACATTCAGGATTTTTCGGTTTTATTTAGGATATAAAAGCAATATTTATTACGGTCCTACACACGATAAATACTTCTTGCCACAGGCATCATCACTTTGCAACTGACGCCATATTTTAGAAATGGAATGGCCCATAAAGGCCCAATGATCCGACCGCGTCCACGCCGTCCGCGTCCACTCCGCCTGCTGGTGGCCTCGGTGGGGTGGCTGGCAGGGAGCTGTTCCCGGAGCTGATTTCCAAGGTCGACCTGACCTTGGTGGCCACAAGGCCTGGACAGCAAAGCCTAGGTTACTGATGCGGGGCGTCCTTTGTCCACCGGGGTCACTGCTGCTGAGTCCCCTGCCAATGCCCCTCGTCTCTAGCTGAGCCGGGGGTGAAGGGGGGCAGAACAACAGGGTCGCATGTGGCGATTGGCCACAGCAGCCACTGAGCCCCAGCAAGGCCACAGCCCGGTTTGTTCCAGGGGCAGAAATGGAGAGACAGCCCTGCCCTCCGGGAGCAACGAGTGCGGAGAAGGCAGAGTGGCGAAGTGGACCGTGCTGGCCTGGGGTGCAATGGCCCTAAGGCGACAATGGCACTCAGATGTCCTCAACTTGGACCTCTGCCACACGTTTCCCTGCCTCCTGCTTCCACAGGCTGCTAACTCCCGTGATCCTCGCAGGAACCCACAGGGCAGTCAAGATTGCCCCATTTTACAGACGGACAGACTGAGTCAGAGAGGCAGTGAGCGATCGGGCTGGAGTGCAGGCAATTGGCCTCGGGGCCCTGGTGTCTCACCACTGCTCAGCAAGACCCCACACAGTCACGCTGGGAGGTTAAACCAGGACCGGCTCTGAGCTCAGTGTTCCCTGTACCCCCTTATCTCCTCCAGGGCACGTGGGCCGTCAGGAGTCCCGGTCCTATGCCTTCCAGGCAGCAGAAGTCACCTGCCCAGGCCCACGGAGCTAGCACACCTGTCCCCGTTTCTCTCCAGGGCTGGGCAACGCTGTTTAAAACAGAGACGTGGGGTCAGAGATTCCGGCACCCACAGCTGAGCCTGGTCTGGTCTTTAAACTAAAGATCGGATTCCGCTCTTTCCAAATAGCCCTCCCCCTCCTGCGGGGGCTGAGGGTGAGCAGGGCCAGGCTTGATCGATGCCACGTGCGCCATACCCTTATCCCGGAGAGAGCGTCCTGGTCCGGCTGGGCTGCCCCAGGAGTGACCGGTGCCTGGGCCTGTGGGGCCGAAGGGTGGGTGGGGAGGTCAGGAGATGGCAGGTAGGGGAGGGAGAGGCCCCCGGCAGCTGGAGCTGGGAGGAGGCCGGCCTTGCCCCAGTTGCTGTACTTAATCACCCGACGGAGGTATTATTATTATCCCATCTTCTTATGACTCAGGCTGAGATAGGGGAGTGAATATACAGCCTGATTATGCACCATATAATGTATTAAGCCAGGAAGGTCTTAAAATTAAAACATTTAAGAAGAACTATCTGGGGAGGTAGTTAAAATCCATTTAAATCCTTATCAAATAATGAAAATATCTCGCGTTGGGGCGGGGGGTGGGGGGGCGCGGTCAGCCTCTTAGCTGTGTTCACTTTCACGAGTTTAGCATAAGACAGATTTCCATGAAAATATTTAGGATTTAGAAGTCCCTTTTGGCCCCGGGCTGAGAACACAGGACAGGGACAGGGTGAGCTCCATGAGGGGTTCCTACCCCTAAGGGGGAGGGTGTCCTTGTCACAGACCCGCTGGCTCCCCCTGGGGGTGCTGGCAGCTGCTCGGGCTCCTTCCTTCAGCTTCTCTGCCCCTGGGCCAGGCACCTGTGGGTGCACAGCACACCTGTGTGGTCCAGGTTGGAAGCCTGGAGGTGGAGAGACGGCCATCCCCCAGGTCCTGCTGGCCCCGTCCCCCTGCAGGCCCAGCCCCTGTGCCCTGTCAGCCTCAGGGCCTGCAGCTGGGCTGAGCCCTGACACATACACCTGTGCCAGGTGTTAGCCATCCCCTGTGTCAGAGGGGACAGCAGTGGGACAGAACTGGTTTCTTCTGCTCAGAAAGCTCTGAGCCCAGGCCACCATGACCGGTCATTTACGGGGTCACCCTGTGTCGCTCCCCAGCCCTGTAGGCAGCCGGGCCATCCCTTACTGCTCCTCCAGGATGGGGCGGTGCAGAGGCCGGACCAACCTGTCTGCCACCAGGTCCCTAAAGCCAGGTCCCTACAGCTCGGAAAGAGCCCTGGGTCTGTCTCAGCCCCTGAGGCCTCACCCAGGCCGCCGGCTCCCCGCTCCCATTAGGAGGCACCCTCCCTCCCGGGTTTTGCTTGAGTCCTCACCCTGGCTCTGGAGGAAGCCCAGAGAGGGGGTGATGGTCAGGACAGAGTCAGGGTGCAGCAGGGCCCCCACTGCTGCGGCCTCTCCCCGCCTGGAA